GAGCCCCGCTGCGGTGTGCGGTTTGCTGCTGCCTGTCTATTGTGAGGGCACATGCGGAGTAACGTGCACAAAACCGTCTTCTGCCGTTGTTGTTTTTTCCATTAACGGGACGGCAGTGCCTCGGCTGTTACTTCTTTCTCTGTGTGTGTGTGTTGGTTGTATGCACCCATTCCGCGGGCTGTTCATGTTTGTGTGTGCTTGTCCCTTTTTCTCTCTTTTTCTGCCCCTCGCTAGACGCTGTGCGTGTGCGTGTGTGCTGCGGTGGGAGGAGTGGCGATGGCTGGCCGTGCGCTGTTGGTGTGCGCCCTCTGCGCGCTGTGCTGCGCCGCCGCCGGGGGCTGGGCGGCGGAGGGGGACTACTGCACGGAGCGCGACTGGAGGGACTTGCGGGCCGTCGCGAAGGACATGAGCGACGCGGAAATTGCGGCGAAGTACTGCGGCCGCAAGCCGGAGTTTGTGCGTGGGCTGCTGGCGAGTCTGCAGGGCGATGGGGCGGAGGAAGGGGCGGTGTCTGGTCCCGGCGGAGGGAGCGGCGATGTCGAAAGAAAAGGCCCGCGAGCCTCAGGGGAAAGCGCCGAAGATGCATCGGAGGAAAAGCCTGCAGGTTCGGGGGAAGTGGAAGGTACAAAGGGACCAGGCGCACCACAAGGAGTATCTCCAGCAGCAGGCCCGACAGCAGAGCTCTCACAGCCACAAGCAGGGAAGCCTAAAAATGAGGTGGACGCCGGCGTTGTGTTGGACGCCAAGGAACCCTCGGCCCCAGCGGATGTCGTAAACAATATGTCAGCTGGAAGTGAACCGGAAACAGCTCTACCGACCACCTCTCAAACTCCCGGTGGTGCTGCCAGCAGTCAGGCGCAAGAAGCCAATGGAAAGGATGGCAACAGCACTCCAGGGCTCGATGTCGTAGTGTCATCGGCACATACGACAAGGCAACCAGAGGCGGCGTCGACACCACCAAAGCCGCCAACGCCAACGTCAACTGAAGGGCCAGGGGGAACAGGGAAGGAGATGACATTGGAGAAGACTCCTTCGAAGGAAAAAGTTTCTGAGGACAGTGTGGCCAGTGATGACAATAACGGCGGTGACGAAAAAGCTAAGTCAAAAGAAGCCGTGCCGGCCCCAGCTGACACAAGTAATACACCGGATGGAAGGGCAGTGGATGCAGCTCAACTCACTGCCCCTTCGGGCGGCGGTGGGACTTCAGGCGAACAGACTGGAAAGAAGGCTGAGGCGATTGCCGAAGTTCCTGCAGGGTCTGTTGCCGCAGCGGCCCCAGGAGTCCAACAGCAAGGTGTAGCTGCCGCTGGTACACCGACGAGCAGCGACAAGCAACCGCCGCCAACAGCAGGGGACACCGCCACTGAGGCCAGTCACGCAGCGACCACGACTGGCGGTGGCAGCAGCAGCACCGCGGCGCAGACGCAGCCGGAGAGTTCCGTGGTGGCAAACGAAGCAGGCCAGCCACAACAAAAGGAGCATCCCGCAGTGCCCACTTCCCAAAGTCAAGCGGAAACGAGTGGCGAGAGAGGAGAAGCCACTCAGCCGGCAGCGGGGGCGGCTGCTCAAGCGGCGACCACCACCAATTTGACGAGTGCAGTGAAGGCGGCGCCCGGCGGCAGCGACGGCAGCAGCACCGCGGCCGCGCCCTCCGCCTCCCCCCTTGCGCTGCTTCTTCTGCTTGCGTGTGCGGCCGCCGCTGCGGTGCTGGCCGCGTGAGAGACAGAGTGAGAAGGAGAGGGCCGTGCACACACACAGCTCGCCCTTTTCTGTTTCCCTCTCTATTTATGTGTCTCCCTGTACGGACTCTCTCGCCCTCGCCGCACCCCACGAGGCACACACACATAATGTGCTCGTATATATACACAACTCCACTCCTGCAGGCCCGTCGGTTTTCTTCCTCTTTTGCACCCGACGAGCCGCTGCCGTCCTGCTTGGCCGCATGGGTACAGCACCGTAACTGTTTTTATCCTTTTTTATTGTTTGTTTTTTGTTTCCATTGCTTTCAGTGGGCGACCTCTCTTTCCTCTCTATCTCTTTCTCTTCCTGGGCTGGGCTGTGCGGGAACAGACAGAGAGAGATGGAGTGTGCGCTGGTCGTCCCACGTGTTGCTGCGCGTCCCCACTGCTCGGTGGACGCGCCCCCACGCCTCGGCTTCACTTCACGGTTTTGTTTTTTATTTCTCTGTTTGTGTTTGTGTGTTTTGGGTGCCCGCACACGTTTTGCAGCCCGTGTGTGTGCGATGCTTCCTGCAAAGGAAGAGGGCAACTTTATTTTGGCTTCAATCGACTGTTTTTTTTGTCCAGTAATTCTGCCTGCTCAGCGGCGTGCGTGCGGCGGACGGGAGTAAATGCCCGGAGGCGGAGGCGCAAAAATCCGTCGTGCCGCGGCGCGGCGGGGATGTGTGGATTTGCCTCCTCCTCCTCTTCGTGCCTGCAGCCGCCCTTCCCTCCTTCTCCTCCTTTTCTCATTCCCCTCCCGCAGACAAGCGCTGCGCCACCACCACTTCAGTCATTCTTCACCAAACTCAGGCACACACACGCTTTTCTCACGCCATGCACCGCCGACACCGCGCCGCGCCGTTTCTCCCACTGCTGCTGCTGCTGCTCGTGCTGCACTGCGGCGGCGGGTGCCGCGCCGCTGCGGGCCGCCGTGTGTTCGACGACACGGTGCCGAAGAGCGGCTGGCCGGCGGCTGCGGTGGTGCGTGAGGTGCCGCGGAGGGGGCATGGCACGGCGCAGGCGTACACCGTCGCAACGGCAGCGGCGGCAGGAGGAAAGAGCATCGAGGGCTGGGCGCCCATCCGCATCGAGGTGTCCACGAAGGATCTGGAGCAGAAATCTCAGAGGGGGAAGAAGAGGTACTGCGAAGCAGCGGGGGATGAGTGCATCAACTACTTGGGACACGAGGTAACTTGCACGAACCGTGACGTACTGTCGGACGCTAAGAAGCAGTTGTATACGACGAAGATTATTCCCGGGGCCGTCAAGCTGCACGTGGAGCGACTTCTCGTGCAGCCAGTGGCTGAGAAAATTGTTGTGCCGCGAAATCTCGAAGAGCATTGCCGGCACTTTACAATTCCAACTGAGCACAAGAGCGGGGGTGTGGCGGATGCCGACATGGTCCTCTACGCTGCTGCCGGGCCACTCGGTCATAACACTCCGGCGTGGGCCGCCACGTGTGCCACGTTGGATGACCTCCGCCCTTCCGTTGGCGCCATGAACTTCAACCCGGCGTACATGACCGACTCGGCGTGGAGCGTCCGCGTCGCCGCGCACGAGCTGGCGCATGCCCTCGGTTTTAGCCACGAAGCAATGAGGCACAAGAACCTGGTGGAGTCAGAGCCCAGTGTGCGTGGAGAAAACCGCAAGGTGGTGGCGGGGGCCACGGTCAAAGCGAAGGCGATAGCGCACTTCAACTGCGAGTCGCTCAAGGGCATGGAGCTGGAGCAGGACACTGTGGGTGTGCAAGCGAAGTTGCCTCACTGGGAGGGACGCAACGCCCGGGACGAGCTGATGGCCCCCACGGTTGGCGCCGGCTACTACACGGCACTGACGCTGGCGGTGTTTGAGGACCTCGGCTACTACCGCGTGAATTGGGGCATGGCGGAGCCGATGGGGTGGGGCAACAACTCCGGCTGCGGCTTCCTGCAGACGAAGTGCAACGACACCGAGCGCCTTGCCACCACGTACCCTCATATGTTCTGTGATGACACCGACAAGGCGACGCTTCGCTGCTCCTCTGACCGCCGTCACGTCGGGACGTGCACAACAGGCATCGTTGATCAGAGCGGGAGCTTGCACAATAAGGACGTGTGCCCTGTTGTTTCGACGTATCTTCATGATTCAACTTCTGAGAGAAGGTCCAGCGCGTGCGCGGACGCAGCTGCGGCGACTCTCCCTGGGTCGCTGACTGGCACTGGCTCGTGGTGCCTGGACGCGGAAGCGCTGCAGGTGAAGACTAACGCCGGTGGCAAGAAAATCGAGGGTGTGTGCGCGCAGGTGCTGTGCGAGGGCGGCGCAGTGAAGGTGAAGTACCTCGGCGGCAACGAGCCTGTGCCGTGCCCCGAGGGGAAGGAAGTCACGGTGGTGGCAAATGATCATCTGCAGGGCGGGAAGCTAAAGTGCCCGAAGTACGAGGAGGTGTGCACCATCGCCGCCAACGGCAGCAGCCTCGTCATTCCGCGCGTTGAGGAGGAGGGCGACGCCGAGGGGAATCCGGAGGAAGACGCAGCGGAGCAGGAGGAAAAGAATGACGAGGAGGAGGCGGAGGAAGAGGTTCCGGCACTTGAGCCACAGCGTGCAGAGTTGTCTTCTGGAACTGCGGGCATCGATCTTTCGAATCCGAAGGCGGCGGCGGAGGTTGGGCCCGGCAC